GGGGGGGTCCCCACGGCCATGTGCCAGCCCTGGGGGGTCCCCAGAGTCATGGGAGGGGTCCCTTGGGGGTCCCCAAAGTCACGTGCCAGGGGGTGTGTCACTGCCCCCGTGGTGTCCCCGTCCTGTTTGTCGCTGTCCCCGCGGTGTCCTCACAGTGTCTCCCCCCCCGGGGGGGGGGGTGGGGGGGGGTTGGGGGAGGTGGGGGGGGGGGGGGGGGGTCTGGGGGGCTGGGGGGCCTCGGGGGCTCAGGGGGGGGTCTGAGGGGGTCACCCCCGGGTGTCGCTGTCCCCGCGGTGTCCCCGCGGTGTCCCCAGCCCCGCGTGTCGCTGTCCCCGCAGTCATGCCGGCCAGTCCCCCCCTGGGCGCGTCGTCGGTGTCCGTCCCCGCGGGCCCCCCCGCGCCCACCCCCCCGGGGGGTTTCTCCTTCTCCCCGGTGACGATGATCTCGGCCGTGAAGCAGAAAAGCGCCTTCGCCCCCGTGGTGCGCCCGCCCGGCTCCCCGCCCCCCGCCTGTGCCAGCGCCGCCGCCCTGCAAGGTGACAGTGTCCCCGGTGTCCCCTCTGTCCCCGGTGTCCCCTCTGTCCTCGGTGTCCCCTCTGTCCCCTACACCCACCCCCGGCTCCCCCCTGCCCCACAGAGGGGTCCCGGTGTCACCGTGCTCCCTGTGCCTCCCTGATGTCCTGTACAGGGGCATGGCCAGGGCTGCCCAGTGCCACCCTTGTGCCTGTCCCCAGTGTCCCCAATATCCCCCAGTATCCCTCTGTGTCCCCCAGTATCCCCCTGTGTCCCCCTGTGTCCTCCAGTGTCCCCCTGTGTCCCCCAGTATCCCCCAGTATCCCCCAGTGTCCCCCACACCCACCCCCAGCTCCCCCCTGCCCCATGGATGCACCCTGGTGTCCCCGTGCTCCCGGTACCTGCCTGGCTCCCTGCAGCTGGGGACAGCCAGGGCTGCCCAGTGCCACCCTCATCCCTGTCCCCCAGTATCCCCAGTGTCCCCTACACCCACCCCAGGTCCCCCCTGCCCCACAGAGGGGTCCCGGTGTCACCGTGCTCCCTGTACCTCCCTGGTGTCCTGTACAGGGGCACGGCCAGGGCTGCCCAGTGCCACCCTCGTGCCTGTCCCCAGTGTCCCCAATATCCCCCAGTATCCCTCTGTGTCCCCCAGTATCCCCCTGTGTCCCCCTGTGTCCTCCAGTGTCCCCCTGTGTCCCCCAGTATCCCCCAGTATCCCCCAGTGTCCCCCACACCCACCCCCAGCTCCCCCCTGCCCCATGGATGCACCCTGGTGTCCCCGTGCTCCCAGTACCTGCCTGGCTCCCTGCAGCTGGGGACAGCCAGGGCTGCCCAGTGCCACCCTCATCCCTGTCCCCCAGTGTCCCCAGTGTCCCCAGCACCCACCCCATGCCCCACAGGGGGTCCCAGTGTCACCGTGCTCCCTGTACCTGGGCACGGCCAGGGCTGTGCTCAGGGGGTGGGTGCCCTGTGCCACTCGTGTCCCCTGCAGTGTCCCTGATGTCCCCAGTGTCCCCAGTATCCCCCCCAGTTTCCCCCTGCCCCACAGAGAGGTCCCCGTGTCCCTGTGTTCCCTGGACATGGGCACGGCCAGGGCTGCCCTGTGCCACCCCAGTGCCTGTCCCCCCGTGTCCCCCCATGTCCCCGGTGTCCCCCCTTGTCTCACCCTGTCCCCCCATGTCCCCTCATGTCCCTGGTGTCCCCCTTGTCTCCCCTGTCCCCCCTTGTCTCACCCTGTCCCCCGTTGTCCCCCCTGTCCCCCCTTGTCTCACCCTGTCCCCCGTTGTCCCCCCTGTCCCCCTGTGCCAGACCCTCCGTTCGAGGACTCCGACAAGTTCCCGGCTCCGGCGCGGCCGCTCCAGGGATTGGCCTATTCCTAAGCACGGTGGGTCCTGGGGGGCTCCGGACCCCCCCCATTCCCCTGGGATGGACATGGAGGGGCAGGGACAAGGGATGGGGACCCCCCTGTCCCCCCCTGTCCCCCACTGCCACCCCCCCCTTCCCTTGCAGCCGGGCCCGGCCCCCTCGAGCCGCCCTGGGAGCCGGGACGGCACCGGAGCCGCCACACGGAGCGGGACGGGGGGACCCCCACCCCAAAGGGGACCCCCACCCCAAAGGGGACCCCCACCCCAAAGGGGATCCCCACCCCCATGGCCACGGCCCCCCCGAGGGAACCCCGGCCCCGCTGCAGGGGGGCTTTGGGGAGCCCAGAATGACCCAAACATGCTGGATTTGGCCTCGGAAAGACGTGGAGAGACTGGGAGTGGGGGCAGCGGGACCGAGGGCACCAGGAGCCAGCGAGGAGGGAGGGGTGTGCAGGGTGGGTGGATGCCCTGAGGTGGGGTGGATGCTCCAGGGTGGGATGGATGCTCCAGGATGGGATAGATTCCCTGAGCTGGGATGGA